TTATCACCGACAGAGGAACGGCATTCACTGCCGACTTAACTCAAGCGATCTTGGCATACAGCCAAACAAACCACCGCCGGACGACAGCGTACCACCCACAGACCAACGGCCTCACCGAGCGGCTTAACAAGACGATCGCCGACATGCTGTCAATGTACGTCGGTGTCGAACACAAGACGTAGGACGCCATTCTTCCGTATGTGACCTTCGCATACAACACGGCGGTGCAGGAGACGACGCAGATATCTCCATACAAATTGGTCTACGGAAGGAGCCCGGCAACGACGCTCGATGCCATGTTACCCAACGTCACCGACGAAGAAAACCTCGATGTGAGCGAGTACCTTCAACTCGCCGAAGAAGCCCGACAACTTGCGCGTCTTCGTATCAAGAATCAACAGACGACCGACAGCCACCGTTACAACCTTCGACGACGCTTCGTGGAATACCAGCCCGGTGAACGTGTTTGGGTGTGGACGCCGATACGCCGACGTGGACTAAGTGAAAAGCTTCTGCGACGGTACTTCGGACCGTACCGGGTGGTTCGACGTCTCGGCCCACTTGATTACGAGGTTGTTCCCGACGGCATCACGAACTCTCAACGACGCCGATCACGACCTGAAGTCGTCCATGTCGCGCGCCTCAAGCCGTTTCATGTGCGTTAACAAACTGGAACAGTGTTTTTTGTATTATTGTTGTATCGTAATTTATTCATTGTACTTTCGTGCATTATTGTTGTACCATCATCTTTAGTTAAAGCATCGGGACGATGCCTTTTTCAGAGGGGGGCAATGCCACGTTCCATTTCCCAAGTTTTTGTTATCGTCCCAAAACACCACACGATTCTCAGTGCAAACCGCACCTGCAGTTTTCGAGACGGCTCCCGACAGTAGTAGCCCCGCCGCGGTGGTCTAGTGGCTAAGGCACTCGGCTGCTGACCCACAAAGTGCGGGTTCGAATCCCGGCTGCGGCGGCTGCATTTCCGATGGAGGCGGAAATGTTGTAGGCCCGTGTGCTCAGATTTGGGTGCACGTTAAAGAACCCCAGGTGGTCTAAATTCCCGGAGCCCTCCACTACGGCGTCTCTCATAATCATATGGTGGTTTTGGGACGTTAAACCCCACATATCAATCAATCCCGACTGTAGTAGATCATTTCGATAAGATCACGCCCACTGTGCGAACGGTACAGATTGTTCTGGAACCTACGCTACCGCCAGCGATAACGCTAGAACATTAGACCGCAAGAGTATAAATGCCGACGCGCTTCGCCGCTTGTCAGTTGTTGATCGAAGGCCGACGCTGCGTTCGCCGCTATCAGTTCGAGACTGCTATCTGTGCAAGACTGCTGCTGTAATTGGACTTTCCGTTTACCGGGCACAGGTTCGCCCAAATAAACAGTTAAATCCCAACACGAAGTCTCCTGCCTTCGGCCACGTCACGACCCCGTGACAATATTGCGATTTACCCGTATGACGCACGTGTTTGCATTTCCTAGTAAAAACTGGCACCGAGGGCCTTCAAAACCCTAGTGGGCGTAATGGTGTGTGGTGGCGATAACTTCACTTTGTCGGGGGTTGCAGCGTATTTTTGCGATCTTTATCGCGGCCGGACGTCACCTGTCTACTGTTGGATGTCCCGCACCGCGAACAGAGGGTCTATTAAGCTTCTTAATCAAAGTCACCACGGTTATACGTCAAGGCTAATCAAAACATATCAGGAGACCTACATTATTACACTTACTCAAGCGAACGGCTGTGGAGAACGCGAGTATTCACATACCCAACACGTTCGCAACGGCCTGAATTTAGTACTCTCGCCATGCTGCTTTGCGAAAGCTGCAGAAATTAGTAAACCTGAAGTAATTTACGTTCGTGGCAATTCCGAGCGCAACGGTAGTGTCCATCGGAGTCTTTTTTTTTTTTTGTAGAGCGCAGAGCTCTTGCGCATGCTCTTGCTTTCACCATCGTTCAGGCGTGCAAACCAGCAAGCACTTCATGGCGGTTTGGTAACGCGTCCAACGAGCGAAGCGAAATTCGTAGCTCTTTTTCTGAGTGTTCAATGCACAAATATAGATCTAATATTATGCTCCATCGTTGTTTCGCACGCTGTAGTTGCACCTGGTTGCGCAGCAAACCATGCAAGGGAGTCGGGCTTTGCACTACTCAAAACTAGGTCGTCAGGTGGCACTGCGTGTCCGCAAAACTCCAGAGTCTGACGTCTACTGAGTGTGGAAAGTAGTCAAGTTGTTACGTGGCACGCATGTCATGATTATCATTTTCGGACGTGTCATTTACCTATGTCATCTGTTCTGATCACGTGATGCCAAATTTGGTACATGTGAAGCTAGTGAAACGGCCTCGAGCGCACCTTGAGCGTAGCATGCAGTCATGTACTTACATAACACGCATGTGATGATTATCACGTATCCACGTGTCATTTACCTATGTCGTCCGTTCGCATCACGTAATACCAAATTTGGTACATGTGAAGCTAGCGATACGGCCGCGAGCGCATCATGAGCTAGCATGTAGTGATGTTGTTACATGGCACGCATCTCAAGATTATCATGTAAGCAGCAGTCTCATACCATCTTCATTCATTCACCTCTCTTAATACCAAATTTGATATAGGTGAAGCTATAACGAAACGGCTGCGAGTGTCCCATGAGCATGTCATGTAGTCATGTTGTTACATGACACGCATCTCATATTATCATGTTTGCCCCAGTTGGATACCTCCGTCATCCGTTCACGTCCTGTAGTACCTAATTTGGCACATGCGAAGCTAGCGAAACGGCCGTGAGTGCATCATGAGCGTGTTTTGGTATGATAGATAGATTTTGGATAGATAGATTTTGGATAGATAGATTTTAGATAGATAGATTTTAGATAGATAGATTTTGGATAGATAGATTTTGGATAGATAGATTTTAGATAGATAGATTTTAGATAGATAGATTTTAGATAGATAGATTTTAGATAGATAGATTTTAGATAGATAGATTTTAGATAGATAGATAGATAGATAGATAGATAGATAGATAGATAGATAGATAGATAGATAAATAGATAAATAGATAATAGATAGATAGATAGATAGATAGATAGATAGATAGATGATAGATAGATAGATAGATAGATAGATAGATAGATAGATAGATAGATAGATAGATATAGATAGATAGATAGATAGATAGATAGATAGATAGATAGATACGCTCAATGTCGGTGAATTTTGCTAAGAAATGTTTCGCTTTAACATGTGTGGAGCAAGTGACGACGGCCCAACGTGCTTACTTCTAACAAAAAATTGGGAGACCCTTAAGCTTCGCCTTTAAGAGTTGACCGCGATAGCGACATCCAACGCCTATTCCGCCCTTAAACCGCTAAGTGCATAATTGTAATTATATTTTGTTACACACACACTCACAGATGGCACTCAGACACACACAAACACGCACGCGCGCGCGAATGGTACATACTGGTTTTTTATCTAAACAAAGAGTCGTATGGCGTTCAAGATACACGCCGTGCGCTTGCCATCTCAGTGGCCATAAAGAGTCTCACAATGGCTCACAGATGGCAGCAAAATATCTAGCTGTAATGACTATCTTTATCGGAGCTAAGGTTCGTCACGCTTGTTTTCCGTGCCGTGTTAGGAGAAAGGGACTTTGAGACAACGCGGTAGCAACACACACCACGTTATGACAGAGCACGAAAGAAAAACATAGAACACAGAACCAGAAAAACCAAGAAGCCGAATAAGTAACAAAACTGTCTGATCGAATGAGAAAACTACCGAACGCTACTTCAAGGCGGAAAGTTCCAAAACATCACGATGAGATAGGGGGCCCGACGAACGCCGAGGTGCAGGGCAGCAGGCGCTGACAGTCGATCGGAAGCGGGTTGCGCCTCGATGTGCGACGCTATGGTGACGGTGACGCTTGGCGGAGTGGGGGCGTGGGTACGACTACGGAGCAGTCAACCCGCATCGGAGACGCGATGCACCATGCGTGCAAATGGCCAGCCCGTCCAGCGAACAGCTTGCGTCGAGACGCGATGCTCGGCGCAACCGTGACCATTAGCCAGGCCACGTATGTCACTGTGCCGAACGTCTGACCACGGAGACGCCTCGCCGAGATCCGCGATGCCCTCGGCAAGGAAGAGAACAGCAGGCCAGGCCGCGCCCCGAGATGCAATACTCGTGCCAGCAACGCCACCCCAGCTGGTACTTGGACGGCAGTAGCGTTGACAGCCGCGTTCCCCGGCCGGAACCTGGATCGCCTGCGTCCGACGCTTCGGCCCGCTGTCTCCCGTCTGCCACTGCTTCGGCACGTCCCCAGCCACAAGGCCTACCACCACGTAATGGTCACACGTGGCCCAATCGTGGCACGCCACCTCTATGGGCCACCACAGGTCATCAGCTGATTGGCTGACCACACGCGCACATTTGGCTCGAAATCACACGCGGCTTACGCCGCACTTCCGTCGTTGTCGTCGTTTTCTTCACTCATCACAATAACCCCCCACACAAAAAAAAATTGTTTCAGTCAAACAACGTTTCTCACAATACACAGTGATGAGGAATGAAAACAGGTGTCAATTTAGCCTTGGGCCATTCGGAAATGTCTTCATATCACAATCTGACTTGTTTTTGCGATGATACAGTCCAGAAGAATGCAAACTTCCAAACCAGACATGCATACGAACAAAAACTAATCACTGCACAATATTTCAATTTCTGATGTACTAAACAGTCTAGAACTTCCTGGTATACACTCAAGAGTTCTTAAACAGCAGCAACTCAGTCTTATAATATAGGCTGCCTTCACTCAGTCTTCACAGAGGCTGAATTTATCAAGTCCCGCTTACTTAATATTCTTCTAGAAGCGTACTATGAAACTAAGCAGCGCTTTAGAGCCCTCAAGCTTAACGTCTTCCGAAACTGCAAGGCGCCTACGCCAAACGCCAACTCACAATGTCAAGCGCTGTTCACTTACAATGTCCTTAAGACCGCCGTAGCCGTCACCCGTCAAGCGACTTTTTCCTCCGAAGTTTAGCGTTTTCCTAGCATGATCTACCACTGTGGCATCGCCAACTGTAGTGAAGTCAGCCCAATAGTTTGTTCGAACTAGCCTTAGAAGGCTCACACGTGCCTGCGGGTAGCACTGCTATACCGTCTGTAAGCATGTCCCACGCTCCTGCGCCACAACCACGCTACCATCACTGTCACGTAACCTCAATGCTCCTGTCCCCTCTATCTGCTGCCAATGATTGAAGTAGCCGAGCAGCCGACAAGCAAATTGTCGCCCTGTCTCGGAATTCTGCGGCTTAACGTCGCGAAACTTTTGCCGATATCCCTCTTCGGTGTACCGAAATCTTTGCAACATGGTTTGCTTCAGCTTTTCGTAGTCTGTAGCATCCTCCGCAGCCGTATGTCCTACAATACTCAAGGCTTCACCTGAGAGGCATAAGCTTAATGAGAGCGCCCACCCGTCGCATGGCCTACCCTGGCTCGTGGCCTCCCGCTCGAAGCGCTGAATGTACGCGTCGAGTTCGTCGCGGCCCTTATTGTAAGGAGGAATAAACTTGTGGGGGCTCCAGAAGATTCCAGGTTCGTATCGAGGCAGGCTCGCCATTATATTGTAATGACTATATGTTCTTTATCGGAGCTAAGGCTCGCCACGCTTGTTTTCTGTGCCGTGTTAGGAGAAACGGACTTTATACAACGCGGTAGCAACACACACCACGTTTATGACAGAGCACGAAAGAAAAACATAGAACACAGAACCAGAAAAACCAAGTAGCCGAATAAGTAACAAAACTATCCGATCGAATGAGAAAACTACAGAACGCTAGTTCAAGGCGGAAAGTTCCAAAACCTCACGATGAGATAGGGGGCCCGACGAACGCCGAGGTGCAGGGCAGCAGGCGCTGACAGTCGATCGGAAGCGGGTTGCGCCTCGATGTGCGACGCTATAGTGACGGTGACGCTTGGTGGAGTGGGGGCGTGGGTACGACTACGGAGCAGTCAACCCGCATCGGAGACGCGATGCTCCATGCGTGCAAATGGCCAGCCCGTCCAGCGAACAGCTTGCGTCGAGACGCGATGCTCGGCGCAACCGTGACCATTAGCCAGGCCACGTATGTCACTGTGCCGAACGTTGACCACGGAGACGCCTCGCCGAGATCCGCGATGCCCTCGGCAAGGAAGAGAACAGCAGGCCAGGCCGCGCCCCGAGATGCAATACTCGTGCCAGCAACGCCACCCCAGCTGGTACTTGGACGGCAGTAGCGTGGACAGCCGCGTTCCCCGGCCGGAACCTGGATCGCCTGCGTCCGACGCTTCGGCCCGCTGTCTCCCGTCTGCCGCTGCTTCCGCTCGTCCCCAGCCACAAAGCCGGCCGCCACGTAATGGTCACACGTGGCCCAATCGTGGCACGCCACCTCTATGGGCCAACACAGGTCATCAGCTGCTTCGCTGACCACACGCGCACATTTGGCTCGAAATCACACGCGCCTTGCCCCGCACTTCCGTCGTTGTCGTCGTTTTCTTCACTCATCACACTTGCGTTTGCTGTTTGCTTGATCAACGCCTCTGGAAAGGCATGATATGTTTTCCGCTAGATGGACCTAGCTGTATATTTTTAAAGCTGTTTGAAAGTTCCTGTGTGTTTTTAGCTGCATGGCTGCACTATCCCGGCCTTTTACAATGTAGTTTGAGGGCCTCCGGAATGCGCCTACAAATCGCCAAATGGGCCCGATGTCGGTGACGCCTGTCGAAAAAAATGCGTTGATGCTCCTTCCATTACATGGCACTTGTGTAGTGTTTTTTTCCTGAAGAAGCTGCAAGTAACATCGTGATTTTGTGGTAGAATACCTGCTTACCATCAGAACGGCCCGGGTTCTATCCTCAATGGGACAAAAAATTTTATTCTTTATTTTATTTGCTGCTTTCACGATTTTTCACTCACGGACAACTTTTTGCTGACAACCAACGGTGCCGACGCCGACGGCGGAATTTCTACGACACGAGCTCTCAACGCTATCGCATTAAAATGTTTATTGAACTGAAGCGGAACATCCGGGTGCTGTAGTGCGCGCAGGTGCTAGGAGACCCGAATGGGGCGACGAAGCAAATCGAATTGAAACGACGACCAGGGAGGGGGGAGAAACCTGATTAGGCCGAGTCAAGCGTTACACAATGACTCATGCGAAGCCGTGCTCTTGATTTCTGTTTAGGGATGCAGGTTTTCACTATTTCGATTGCTTTGATGATTTCGTGGGTTGTCTTGTTATTACTACTGCCAGTGTCGGTACAGTTCTCAAGTGAAGCTGCGCAGCCGCAAGCATTGCGATGCTGACTCAGATGACTAGCTTCTATTGACTGAGTGTGCGACCGATGGCGGTACTTCGAATCACGCCTGTGTGACGTCAACGCGGGGATTCGTGCGCTTTCAAGGCGTGGCGCCGTATAAAATCCACCGTCGTCGTAAAAGTCGACAAAGATTGGTTATCTTTTGTGTGGGATGGCTACCGGCGCTGTTCCAACAATAACTGTTGGTCTGCGCCATTAACGTTCATTTTAAAAGCACAGTGCTTTGCTTATTAGAACTGCGTCTGCTTGACTCCGCGGATAATGCTGCGCTATGGGGAAATACTACTGTGTGCCTCTGTACGATCATCCACCCGTGGAAAAGGCGTTAGCTTGCGCAACTATCCTAAGAACCCGAAGTTGAGACACATATGAATAGTCGAGCTCAGAATAGGGAAGCGCCCTACACCTTCTTCAACCATGTGCAGCCTTCACTTCGCTGACACTGGCTTCTGCAATGCCCATCGTACACACCACTCTTTGGCTAGCTTGTAACCATGTTTGAGCGCTTTGCCACTACTTAAGCCGGTTACTGCACGCAGGTTGCAAGTATAGGCGACTTACACCAGGTGCGGTGCCGTCACAAAACCTACCGCGAAAGCCTCTAGGCAGAAGCCTACGACGTGGTCTTCGAATGGTCGCAGGTAAGCGCGCTTCGTGGAGGCAGCTGATTCGCGCAGGATACAAGATTGCAACTTTATTATTGTGATAGCAATCATAAGGACACTCTCGGCTGGATATTGCCGCAGGGGTCGACATCGGCGTTACCGTCACTCACCGTATAAGTACACGTATTTCCATATATGAAAACGCAAGAAATAAAAATAATCCAGAAAAAATCGGGGCGCTAAATCGAATGTGGGACCTTTGAACTGTGAGTGCCAGGCGTTAGCCACTGAGCAACGAAGGTGCACCTCCTTCAACGTTCAAACGGCAAGCTAATTATATCTACTACTTACCGCTGGAGACAGGCATCTAGGAAGAGATTGTCGTGTTTTTAGCATTACTAGCAAGATGGCGCAATATGCGCGCGACGCCACGTCGTCATGGCGTGGCGGCGCGCACTTTCATCTCCCCTGCATACTTTGCCCCGTGGAAAAGAAAGAAGGTGGATGCTCACGCGTGCGCTTATCTCGTGGTGGGGACAATCGTATGTATTTGCTGGTCTTGGGCTTTCACCGAAACAATTTTGTTGTAGTTACAGGGTGCATCATAGCCATCGTCGCACAATGTCCGTTGGCGAAAAGGGCGTGCTCTATAGTAAGAACTGAGACGCCTATTTGCATTCATTAGTACCTGTGAGTACAAGTTCGTGCGTCAATTGTGCGTGAGAAGCGTGGGCACGTTTCGACCTGCTTGACAATCCGCCCCTGACCTTCCAACTTTTTGCTGTCACATTCATTGCTTCGCTTTTGTGGCAAAGTAGTGACTTTTTTGGTTGGTGTTTGCACATATATGCGTAGCTTACTGATCAAGACAGCGTGCGCCTAGCGCACTGCTTAACATAAATGCATAAGCGAAACCTGTTTTCTTTGTTTAGTCAACACTCTGTAAACGCTGAAACCTAATGCAGTGCAGGCATTTAAGCGGAGCCCCTTAAGCTTTTCCCGATGCCAGGTGCGTGAGCACAACCTGCACCCACCTTGCCTCTACCACCCGAATCTGTGTGGCCCTGTGCGCGATATATATATTTCTGATAATTTGATACTCAAGCTACAGCTGATTGTGGCATAAATATGAACCAATTTGTGTTATTGCTCTCACTGAACCAATATAACTGGGACATACTGCAGTCATTTTCACCGGTGAAAGGGTACAACAAGGCGGCACTTGCACCCATTCCCAGCCACTACAGCTACTGCACATCGAGACTCCCCTCACAGTAATACAACACGGGCTTGCGCTTTTAGTACAAAACTCTGCTGACGCCCATGACAGCGATCCGAGCACGATTACCTTTAATGGGGTAATTTGATGCTACATTGCATTTCTAGTAGATGCCATGAACTGTTGATTGACTGCCGAAGCAGCAGTTTAAACAGCTACTGAACAGTATTTTTTTTTCGTGTGTAACTACAAATGCCAGCGGTTCTTACCTTACGTTTCTTTATGTTCACCTTCACCAACGTTGCACTGTACAAAAAAAGATCCCAAGTGAAGGACACGTGTGCTCTTCTCTTCAGGATTGTTGTGAAAGCGAACATCCTTTTCACGGACGGACGAAGCACTCCGGGGCACAAACTACAACTTCTCCATTGTGGACCACTCAACCACAACAGAGAAAACAAGATATCAGCTTCCAACACACTGTGTCCAGAGCAACTGAATGAGGATTATTTGTCACGAACTCGATCGCCATGGAGACGTTGTTTAGTGGGTTCCCATTTCCACTTGTTTGCAGGTTGAGATCCGCGACGCTGATGCTACCTGCGTTGACGGCCTCGACGGCGCATTCAACGTGACCTGCGTCGTACACTGCCACGTCGTCGATGGGAGCACGACGTGTTGCAAAGCTGTATCCACATACTTGTAGATGCTAGAGAAATGCACGCTTATTGAAATAGCGAAAGAAACGCCCGAACTAATTAGTATCGTACGGCGGAAGCTGCAGATTATGAGTGAGAATACTCGCACATATTTTCATTTTCTTACCAGCAATGCAGCCAGTGGCAATGGCATGCTCGTCGGTCATCCGGGAGATTTCTTGGCCCTGTCGATTGGGCCGCTACTAAAACAAGTTCATACATTTGAAAAAAATTTGTTTCAGGCGTTAGTTGATCCTCGCAAGACTGTTCGTTCGCCTAAATTGGTGCCAGAAGCATACGATCCCCCCGCAGGAGCAGCGGATGCTGCAGCGCGGTTGAGAGCAGAGTCACTGTGCTGACGTCACACATGAGAAATCGTCACTACAAGATCTCGAAGTCAATGTTCCAAGAGCTGCTCAGGTGCTCACGAAGTCTGTCATTAAGGCACCTACCGGCTTGATTCATGTAATGCTTTCCCCATGACAGCGGGGAAGAGTACACGAATCTTTTCCGGCACGTAACCAAAGGGTTTCTATACTTTGTGGCACATCAAAAGCTACCCACTCTGTAGCTCGCCTTGCCAAGTTTGGAAAGTTTGTTTGGTGCTGAAAAAAACCACCCGTATGTTCGCCTCACTGACTAAATTCTAGAGACGGTGCGATATGTCGTGTATGTAAGGCATGACAGACATACATGGCTGGCTTACATGATCACGGGTGTCATGTGTACGTTCTACTGA